ACCTTGCTCATGGATAGGTAGACTCAACATTGTGAAAATGTCAATTCTTCCCAAAGCGATCTACAGATACAATACAATCCCGATCAAAATTCCAACAGCATTTTTTAATGAGATGGAGAAACAAATCACCAACTTCATATGGAAAGGGAAGAGGCCCTGGATAAATAAAGCATTACTCAAGAAGAAGAACAAAGTGGGATTTTAGAACCTGATTTTAGAACCTATTATACCACCACAGTAGTCAAAACAGCCTGGTAATGGTACAACAGATACACAGACCAATGGAACAGAATTAAGAATCCAGACATAAATTCATCCACCTATGAGCAGCTGATATTTCACAAAGGCCCGAAGTACAGTAATTGGGGAAAAGACAGTCTCTTTAACAAACGGTGCTGGCTTAACTGGATATCCATCTGCAAAAAACTGGAACGAGACCCATACCTCACACCATGCACAAAAACTAACTCAAAATGGATCGAAGACTTAAATATAAAATTGAAAACGATAAAGATCACAGAAAAAAAATAGGGACAATGCTAGGAGCCCTAATACATGGCATAAACACAATAAGAACCATAAGTAACAATGTACAAGCACCAGAAGAGAGCTCCTAAAATCAAACTCTTATGCTCATCATAAGACTTCACCAAAAGAGTCAAAAGACAACCTACAGACTGGGAAAAAATTTTTTGGCTATGACAAATCTGATTAGCATCTAATCTCTAAAATCTACAAGATACTGCAAACCCTTAACAACAAAAAGACAAATAACCCAATTAAAAAATGGGCAAAGGATATGAACAGGCACTTTGCCAAAGAAGATATTCAGGTGGCTAACAAACACATGAAGATATGCTCACAATCATTAGCCGTTAGAGAAATGCAGATGAAAACTATAATGAGATATCATCTTGCCCCAACAAGGCTAGTATTAATCTAAAAAACACAAAATAATAAATGCTGGAGAGGTTGTGGAGAGACTGGAACACTTATACACCGTTGGTTGGAATGTAAAATGGTACAACCACTTTGGAAATCGATTTGGCACTTCTTAAAAAGCTAGAAATAGAAGTACCATACGATCCAGCAATCCCACTCCTTGGAATATATTCTAGAGAAATAAGAGCCATCACACAAATTGATATATGCACACCCATGTTCACTGCAGCACTGTTCACAATAGCAAAAACCTGGAAACAACCTAGGTGCCCATCAACGGACGAATGGATAAACAAATTATGGTACATCCACGCAATGGAATACTATGCAACGATAAAGAACAACGATGAAGCCGTGAAACATCTTATCACATGGAGGAATCTAGAGGTCATTAAGCTGAGTGAATTTAGTCAGTCACAGAAGGAGAAATAGTGTATAAGACCACTTAGGTTTAAACAAAGAAGAAAACATTCTTTTATGATTACAGGGGTCGGGAGGGAGAGTGAGGGTTATTTACTCACTAGATAGTAGATAACAATTATCTTAGGTGGAGGGAAGGACAGTGCACACTACAGGGGAAGTCAGCACAACTGGACTAAACTAAAAGCTAAGAAGTTTCCTGAATACAAACAAACATTTTGAGGAACAGAGTAGCAGGGGTAGGGGTCTGGGGACCATGGTTTCAGGGGACATCTAGGTCAATTGGCATAACAAAGCTTATTAAGAAAATGTTCTGCATCCTACTTTGGTGAGTGGCATCTGGGGTCTTAAAAGCTTGCAAGCGGCCATCTAAGATGCATCAATTGGTCCCAACCCACTTGGAGTAAAGGAGAATGAAGAACACCAAAGACACAAGGAAAATATTAGCCCAAGAGACAGAAAGGGCCACATAAACCAGAGACTTCATCAGCCTGAGACCAGAAGAACTAGATGGTGCCCGGCTACCACCACCAATGACTGCCCTGACAGGGAACACAACAGAGAGCCCTGGATGGAGCAGGAGAAAGGTGGGGTGCAGAACTCAAATTCTAGTGAGAAGACCAGACTTAATGGTCTGACTGAGACTGGAGGAACCCCAGAAAGCATGGCCGCTGGATTCTCTCTCAGCCCAGAACTAAAAGAATTTCTGAGGCCAACTCTTCAGACAGGGATTGGACTGGACTGTGGGACATAAAGTGATACTCGTGAGAAGTGTGCCTCTTAGCTCAAGTAGATACAAGAGACTAAACGGGCAGCTTCTGTCTGGAGGTGAGATGGGAAGGCAGAGAGGGTTAGGAGCTGGTTGAATGGACATGGGGAATCAGGGGTGGAAAGGAGGAGTGTGCTGTCACAGTATGGGGAGAGCAATTAGAGTCACATAACAATGTATGTATAAATTTTTGTATGAGAGACTAACTTGAAATGTAAACTTCATTTAAACTACAACAATAAAAAAAGGAAAAAAAAGATTTACATAAATATAGCAATCAGAGGACATAACTCAAGATAACAATTAACAATTGAGTAGTACGGATAAGTGCATACAAACTTAAGAGAACGAAACTGAAGTGAGCTGGGGTCACCAGGAAAGTTTTCTTTGAGAAACAGGATCTGAGTAAGGAGGTAAAGAATATCTAGGTCTTCAAATGGCAGAAGTCAAATTAAGTCAAATTATTGCACTTAGAGAAACAGCATGAGACAAACAGAAACAGCATGAGACACAGAATGAAGGGAGGCATGAGAACAATGTACGCAAAGGGCAGCAAAGAGATGTAACAAATACAGTTCAACTACAGAAGCAGTTTAAGAGGCTCCATCAAACAGAAAGAGGGGCTGGATTACAGAGGACTCTGAATGCTAGTTTCAAGAGTAGGAATGTTTTTCTGATAAGACGTCACTAAAGATCCTTTAGTAGGTGAGAGACACAAAGCTAGTTGTGCTTCATAAACATTTACTGGAGATATAAAATCCAGCTCTGAAGTTAGATTATGGGGTGATAAAGGTATGGAGACAGTAGGAAAGGAAAAGAAGAGACAAATCTGAAATACTCTTGTTAGGAATTGAAATCATAAACCATGACTGAGGTTTAAAAACCATAAGATGCAGGTTTCATTAAATTCAGGTTTCATAGTTAGCTAACAAAATGAGAGTAAAGTAATCTAAACACAGAAGTTTCACAAATAAAATCAAAATACTGAAGAAGATAGTTAACTTTCTGGCGTGACCTACCAGTATTTACTTTTGACGTTACATGGGCTACATCAATTTTCTGGGACCTGATGAGAGGTACAGCTTTTGTAGAAGAAGTGTGTATCATATTCTTCCTTCGGTCTTTTGCTTTACTTATCTTTGAAAGAGGTGCAAAAATACCTAAGGAAAAATGTAGAATTTTAGTTAAGGTTAAGCAACTAAAAGCATTTCAAATAAAAAGGCAAGTACAACTATTTAGTAATATAAATCTTAAAGTTCTTTTTTACTGACTACATGTCCTGTGTAGCCCTGGTGGTGCAGTGGTTAGGAGCTTGACTGCTAACCAAAAAGTTGGCAGTTTGAATCCACCAGCTGCTCCTTGGAAACCCTATGAGGCAGTTCTACTCTGTCCTATAGGGTCACTATGAGTTGGAATCAACTCGACAGCAACAGGTCTGTTTTGTTTTTTGTTGTTGTTGTTGTTGTTTTAATGTGTCCTACAGTGAGTGATAAAGAAAAAAGACACAGTACTTACACTCAAAGTGCTTACAATCTAGTTGTCAACATACACACACAATTATTTAAGAACCATGTTAAGAGATACATAATCAGGTGTTAAGTGGAATTCAGGAAAAAGAGAAATGAGTAAGGGTAGCAGTTTTCTATTATTATTTTTGACTTAGCTATTGTCAAATAATAGTGCATTGTACCGTATAAAAATATCTCCTTTAGGACTTACATTTTTCCCACATTACAGCTTTTTATGTTCATGTCTTATCTCTCTTCTAGACTGTATACCTCTTGAAGACAAAAGTCAAATTGTATTTATGTTTGCATTCCCTGACTACACCTAGTTACGGTTCTTTACACATAGAGGGAAGTAATTGACCTTTCTGAGCATAAAATATAATCTTCCCAAAAAGCCTCAGCCCATAACAATCAAAAAGAGCGTGATGTGTGTTAGCGATGAAAGGGATGTGGAGGGTAGAAGAGGGGATGCCTACAGGTAGGTGGTTAGGACTATAAAATTCTACTAAAAAAAGGGTCTATCAAGGCAATACACCAGCCAGCATACGTAAGTTTGCACAGACATTAGAGACAGTGAATATGAACTATCAACACCAAGATGATCTGCCTTAAACATTTAAAAAGGGAAAATAAATTAATCATAATATGTATATTAAATCCTAACAAAGACACATTATGACAAAAGTGTAATAATACATTAAAAAAATTTGTTTTAAAGCAGAATATAAATGCTCAAGACTCTACAAAAAACTGCTTTGTTAATAGCTACAAAGTGCCAACTACACTACTTTTCTGCTAGTCTTGAAATTCTTTCCTTTCTTGGACTCTATACTACCTCTTTTTTTGACTTATCCACAATGTTCTCTCTTCTTCTTCTCTCCTATCTACGAGATTTCCCTTGGCTTCCTATTCTTTTCTCTAAATTCTTTTCCTTGCCAAACATGCACACATCACTATAGAGCTTGAAGAAGACTATATCCACTGACACCAAGGGTTTGAAGAAAGAAATCACCTTGTACTCTGGGAACATAAATGGGTACAATCTTTCTAGAAGATGAAAATCCTGACCAAGTCTACTTTATATAAACTACATGGAAATACTTAGGGGTATACACAAAAGTTACAAAGTTACAATTGTACATTATAAGGAAAAAAATAGAACTCAAGAGCCCAAAAAAAACTGGCTGTATTATTCAATTATACTTCTGGAAATGCATCATAATAATTCAAATAGAAAAGACTGCATACCTGATTATGTCATCATTGCAATATTACTCAAAAGAGAAAACATAATTGTTCAGCAATAGGATGAATGAGTTAACTGCATCTATAAACTATTACATCATCATTAAAACAATAAAGATTATGTAGTAATATAGAAAAATGTGAAATGTAAATAAAGAAAATGAAAATTAAGTTATATTTGATTATATTATGAATACATTTGTGGAAAAATTGTATGTGTGGATATAGAAAGGACTGGAAAAATGTTGAAAATTAAAACATTTATGAGAATAGTAGGACTATGAAGTTTTTTTTCTAATTTATTTAATTTGTATCATTAATGCCATAATGATGTTATTCAATAATTTTTTTTTTAATCTGAGGGAAAATATGTGGTTTCTCTTTGAAAGTCTTACCAGAAAATTTCCATATGATAAAGTATATTTGTTTTTTAAAACAGATTTAAACATTTAATTTTATGATTTGAAAAAATTTCTGTAACATGTGAAACCTCACTCCCATAGTTCTCACTCTTCTCATTGTTTTAATTAATCATATAATTTGGGAAAACAAAAACTGAAATTTAAATCAATGATTGGATACAACCAAAGCCTGAAATGTGCATAGTATACAGGTTAGCATGCTGTTCAATTTCTCATGCTAATCAAAGTACTGATGGGATTCTTCTCAGATCATAACATATAATTGTAAGATTTAACTAAAAATAAACAAACAATGGAGAATAGTTTTAAAATAGAAAAGTAATAAATTCCCAGATAAACATGTGTTTTTAACTCCAATTCTTCCCAGAACCCAATAAAATATCAGTAAAGAATAAAAATGGTATAAACTCTAAAGGAAAATGAAAATGAAAAAAAAGGAGAAAAAATAATAAAGGCTTCCAGAGAAAGGGGAAAAAGTCAAAAACAGAAGACGGAGACAATACCAAATACCAGAAACAAGACGACAGAGTAAGGAACCCCACACTCCCATACTCCTACAGGAAAAAGAAGAAAGGCAGAAAGTGACAGCACCAGCCCTGTTAGAACTCTGGTGAAGGAGCCAGGTGAAGGCTTGCCAGACAGCATAATGCTCTGAGGCCTTCTTTGATACTGGCTTGGGCACCACCCCCACGCCCGCCCAGCAGCTGGCTTGAAACAGCAGCCACGTTTCCAGCTTGGGATCTTGATTCCTGGTCTGGAGTGAGCAGAGCACATTTATTAACAGAGTATGGTGTCTGCCTGTTTAAATCAGGTAAGTGGCTTCCTAAAGGACAAACAAAAAGCACTTGTCTCTGTTTCATCCATCTTGGAGAATTCTCAGGGCAGAGGAGCACCAGGCACAGCCAGAGGTGCTGTAAGGTAAATGGAGGGGTCTGTGTGGCCACTTGGGACAAAAAAAAGTGATTGAGAAGCCAGGGTCAAGACTCCAGTAAGAGAATTTCCTTGGGGAACTGGTGAAATTAAAGTACAGGCATACCTCATTTTATCGCACTTCGCTTCACTGCACTTCGTAGATACTGTGTTTTTTACCAACTGAAGGTTTGTGGCAAACCTGCGTCAAGCAAGTCTATTGGCGCCATTTTTCCAACAGCATTTGCTCACTTTGTGTCTCATTTTGGTAATTCTTATAATATTTCAAACCTTTTCATTATTATTACATCTGATATGGTGATTTGTTATCAGTGATCTTTTGATGTTAATATTGTAACTGTTTGGGGGCACTACAAACCACATCCACATAAGACAGTGAACTTAATTGATAAATATTGTGTGTGTCTGACTGCTCCACCTACCAGACCTTCCCCTGTCTCTCTCCCTCTCCTCTTGCCTCCCTATTCCCTGAGACATGACAATACTGAAATTAGGCCAATTAATAACCTGCAATGGCCTTTAAATGTTCAAGTGAAAGGAAGAGTCCCACATCTCTCACTTTAAATCAAAAGCTAGAAATGATTAAGCTTAGTGAGGAACGCATGTCAAAAGCCAAGACAGGCCAAAAGCTAGACCTCTCACATCAAACATTTAACCAAGTTGTGAATGCAAAGGAAAAGTTCTTGAAGGAAACTGAAAGTACTACTCCAGTGAACATACGAATGGTAAGAAAGCGAAACAGCTTTGCTGCTGATATGGAGAAAGTTTTAGTGGTCTGGATAGAAGATCAAACCAGCCACAACATTCCCTTAAGCCAAAGCCTAATCCAGAGCAAGGCTCTAACTCTCTTCAGTTCCTTGAAGGCTGAGAGAGGTGAGGAAGCTGCAGAAGAAAAGTTTGAAGCTAGCAGAGGTTGATTCATGAGCTTTAAGGAAAGAAGCCATCTCCATAACATAAAAGTGCCAGGTGAAGCACCAAGTGCTGATATAGAAGCTGCAGCAAGTTATCCAGAAGATCTAGCTAAGATAAGTGATGAAGGAGGCTAAACTAAACAACAGATTTTCAATGTTAACAAAACACCCTTATACTGAAAAAGATGCCATCTAGGACTTTCATGGCTAGAGGGGAGAAATCAATGCCTGGCTTCAAAGCTTCAAAGGACAGGCTGATTCTCTTGTTAGGGGCTAATGCAGCTGATGATTTTAGGTTGAAGTTAATGCTCATTTGCCATTCTGAAAATGCTGGGGCCCTTAAGAATTATGCTAAATCTCAACTTGACTAAACCAAAAGCTAAGAAGTTTCCTAAACACAACCAAACACTTCGAGGGACAGAGTAGCAGGGACGGGGGTCTGAGATCGTGGTTTCAGGGGACAGCTAGGTTAACTGGTATAACAAAGTTTATTAAGAAAATGTTCTGCAACCCACTTTGGTGAGTGGCATCTGAGGTCTTAAAAGCTAGCAAGTGGCCTTCTAAGATGCATCAATTGGTCCCAACCCACCTAGAGTGAAGGAGAATGAAGAACTCCAAAGACACAGGGAAAATATTAGCCCAAGAGACAGAAAGGGCCACATAAACCAGAGACTCCATCAGCCTGAGACCAGAAGAACTAGATGGTGCCCAGCTGCCACCAATGACCGCCCTAACAAGGAACGCAACAGAGTCCCTGACAGCGGGAGAAAACTAAGGTGCAGAACTCAAATTCTAGTAAAAAGACCAGACTTAATGGTCTGACTGAGACTGGAGGGACCCTGGAAGACATGGCCCCTAGACTCTCTGTTAGCTCAGAACTGAAACATTCCCAAAGCCAACTCCTTAGACAAAGATCAGACTGGTAGCATAAAATGATATTCGTGAAGAGAGTGCTTCTTAGCTTAAGTAGATACATGAGACTAAATGGGCAGCTTCTGTCTGGAGCTGAGATGAGAAGGCAAAAAGGGACAGAAGTTGGTTGAATGGACACAAGAAATCCAGGGTGGAAAGGAGAGTGTGCTGTCACATTTTAAGGAGAGCAGCTAGCATCACATAGCAATGTGTGTATAAATTTTTGTATGAT